GGCACCTGAACGTTCCCACGGGCACCGCTCCTGCCCAATCTTGACCATCTCGGAGGGACATCATCCCAGAAGTATCTTCAGGCAGTTCTTCCTAGTACCTCATTTAAATTCTTCTTGCTATGGGCCTAGCCTTACTGAGCACCATGGGTGAAAGTAATTTCAGGGGGTGAAATAAAAGCATTGTCAGGGCCAAAAGATAATGAGCTTCCTTTCCCAAGTGTTTTGTGTTGAGGAGCAGATGGGCTTTACTTCAATGGGGAAGCCAGAAGAGACATGGGCCTTATGGGACACAGATCAAGCAATAGATACACATCCAGTGCAGCATGCCCTGCGACAGCCCTCCTGACTAGCAAAGGAGAGGGATCTGGGGGAAGGAGGGAGTGGAGGGGAGGGGTTTCAGATGACCTCTGTCCCTGCGGGCAGCCTGTTCATCAGGCAGGCGGAAGTCATGAGTGCCTTGTCCAGGTAGACCCTGGTCCTGGGATCAGGAGTGGGGTGGGGATCTAGTGCAAGCAGAAGATCCCTTGCTTCAGGGAGTTCCCAGCCTCCTTGCTTTCTGGGAGAAAGGCCCGTAAGTACATGTGCATGTACACACACACACACACACACACACACACACACACACACACCCATGTACAGAAGCCGCACTCCGTGGAACACACAAGCCAGCAAGGAGTGGGTAGAGCAGCTGGCCAGAAAGCTGACATGGTTACGCTAGAGGGCTTGGAGTGCCCAGAGCTGGGTGGGGTCACCTCTAGAAGAAGCTGATTTTTGTGCAAGGTTTTGAATGCCGGGAGAGGGTTTGGCTGAGAAGAAGAGAAAGAATGTTTCAGGTGCGGTGGGTGTGACTGATTTGAAAGCTTGGAAGGTGGAAAAGGATGAGTCATCCCTGCCAAGGTTTGCCTGTCCCCCTTGGAGAGAGAAGTCCGTGTATCCTAACAAAAAAGCTGCTTCCCTTTTCAAAGCTTTGGTGGGCGAGAAAGCTTCGCTGCCCCTGTGACACAAGAGAGAATCCGATAATCATCTCAGGCAGCGAAGGGAAGTAGCATCCAGGGATGCTGATGATCTGAGTGGTGGATTTTTTGAGATGGGTTTACACCCTGAAACCCTGACACAGATGAGACCAGCAGTGCGGACAGAGCTGCTGGAATGGATCGTACGCTGGAGGAAGCAATACGTTCTCGGAGACATTTGCTCTTCGACCTCGGGGTTCTGTGGGTGGGCATGTGCCTCCTGGGGACAATGCCCAAGTTGGACTATCAGCCAGCTCCACTGAGAAGCCCACGCTTTGCTTCTGGCATGTGCACCCTTCTGGAGGAAACAGTGGGAATGCAGGTGCTCAGCGACGAGAGTAGGGGTGATTCTGTGGGGTGAGCTGGGTGCTGGGATCACCTCCCCTTACCTCCTCCAACACCAAGGATCCTCCTCAAGGAGGTGACTGTGCCTGTTCTCAAGCTGCTCTCAGATCCTCTGTCTCCCTGGATTACCCCACCCACCAGGGACATTTTTGGGTGGGAGGAGGGCCTGGTTGAGTAGCCTTCCAGGACCCTGGTCCCATACTGCAGTTTGGGGGATGTGGAGCCTCCAGGCACCTAAGCACCTCACCATGAGGGGTGAATTGGTTGACAAAAAGGGCCCACTCAGTCCAGGTTTGGCCCACTCCAGCCAGAGCCATGCCCTGTGCCCAAGACCCCAGGGAAAGAAGAGACACGATGCTTGCTTCAGTGAGTGCCCGAAGTACATGATGGTGGACACTAGCACAGTCATGAGATGGAGAACCGACTGCACCTGCCCGTGCCCCTGTTCTGAGGAGGCAGTCAGCCAGGGGTGATGGGACCAGGTGGAGTTAATCAGGAAAGGCTCCCTAGAAATGAGTTGTGAAGAAGTCAGGGGACTCGATAGAGAAGGGAAAGCTGTCAGAGCTATTACCATCACTCTCACTGAGAACCCCCATGTTCTTGCTGTTGAACCTGACTTTCCAGGGGTCATGTGTACCAGCCAGACACCCTAGGGTCAGGAGAAGGGAGCAGCACTCTTATTAATAGAGCTCACCTCACCTCCTACCTGTATGTCTTTGGTCATCGGGCACAATGCAAAGTGTGACCTCAGGTAGGTAACTTCTCTGGACTCCTCCTCTACCTCAGAACCTTGGCCCCAAGTGCAGCTACCCTACTGCCAGAGAAGCAGCACTGGCTGGTGTGATGGCAGCCTCATTCTCACAAGGAAGCCAAGCAAAGCATCTTAAGGTGGGAGTCAGGTGATCTGACTCCCAATTGCAGATGGATCTTAGAGAGTGCCTTTAGGAGCCACCTGGAAGGGCCTGGAGGCCTTGGCCCCACCAGAAGTGAGTGTTATAGCCCACACCTGTCATCACTAAAGTCACCACTGGGACACAGGGACTGGCTTTTGGAAGGATAGGGCATTCCAGAGGTCTTATTCACCCCTGCCTCCGTGGCAGAGAACTCCCTACCTCCCACATGGAGATTATGTGAGAGGGAGGCAGGCAGGTGCAGGGCATGGAGGGAGGAGATGCTTCATCTGATGACCAAGAGGGTGAGTGATGTCACAGCTGACAGATTCCCTTTTGAGAAGAAGTGCAGGCCCCATGGGAGCCTGCCCTCCACTGAGCCTCCTGGGGATGCCTCCCCTAGCAGAAGGCCTCCCTGGGGCTCCACAGAACTCTTGGTCTGTCACCACCCCAGATTTTCCACCTAAAAGCAGCTGGCTGACCCACAGCTGCCCTTGGGTGAGACATCGCTGCTCACGGGGCAACAGCCAAGTGAACTCTGGCCCGTCAAACCCTGGAAGGGATGATAGAAGTAGGCTAGACAGAGGGGAGTCAGACGAGACCTGGCTGTCAGCTGCCTCAGGGCCTGACCGTGCATGCCTAGGGTCCTGGCTACAGCCCCTTCCCTGGTGTGAGCTGGTTCGGGATGGCTGAGCCCATGAGATGGCTTCCAGACTCCTCCTGACAAAGGCAGCCTTTCCAGGGGGGCAGCTTCCTGAGAAAGGAAGAGGAACCAACTGTCTGCACTCAGTAGGGGAGCTTGGATTAAGTCAGAGGCTCAGAAGAGTCCCCTCAGGAGTCAGGCCTGGGCCCGCAGGACACCTCTGGAAGGACCCCGAGGCAGGCAGCAAAGGAGATGGTGCTGTAGCCTTTGATGTCTCCCCATCTTCCTTGCAAGCTTCTCTGAATGCCACGGGGCATGCATGGGTTACTATAATCGCATGGCCATGGGACCCTGGAGCTGTGTGGGGCCTTTGGGGTATAGAGAGGCCAGCCCCTTCCTGAAGGGGCTGAAGCCCAGAGAGAGCAAGTGACTTGCCCAAATGTCAGAGCCAAGACCAATGTCAACACCTCTAGGCTTTCAGGGCAAGTTATCTCTGCCACAGCCGATAACCCTAATGGCCTGTTGATCCTCCATGGTGGCAGGGGAGGGGTGGGAATGGGAATCGGGGCAGTGGCCCCTCCTGTGTGCAACGGGGTGGCCCTCTGGCTGGCTTCAGACAGAGGAAATGGCACTGGGCAGAGATAGCTGGCACATTCCAAAGCTGCCGCCACACCGCGCTATTCCTTCTCTCAGCTCAAATGCTACCCCCCCACACCCACTACCCTAAAAAGGCTTAGGAATCTGAGTGCGTGTGATGTGGCAGATGGGAAGGAGCTAATTTGGCCAGGTAAGATCACTGTCAAACCCTTCCCCCTAGATAGGGTTTCTGATGCTGGAGTCTGGCCATCACTTCAGAGAAAAGAAGTGCTCATCCCCCTTAGGAGGCTCTCACTGGATCCCACTTTTCTTTTTTTCCCCAGAGGGCTCATCACATAAAACGAGTGTGGAGCAAGCCTTGCTCTGGGTGTCCAGGCCATAGAGCCCTGGCTTCCCCCTCATGCAGATCCCAGTGTAGGGAATGGGACCACAGGCAGGATGTGACTCAGGGTCCAGACAGCAGGGAAGGATGTGTTTAGACGTAGGAGAGATCGCCCTGGGCAGGGCTGGACAGAAGAGGCTTCCCCAAAGGGATGAGATTCCGAACTTGGCCTTGAAAGATAGGTGAGATCTGAATGTTGTGGCCAAGAAGGGAAGGCAGACTCGGCAAGGGGCACGGTGTGAGCAAAGTCACGGCCGTGTCCCGGTCAGCCGTGTTCCAAGGACAGTAAGGCAGCCAACAGACCAGCTTTGGCAGAGTTGGGGGACTGTCCTTTAGGGCCCACCTGCCACTGGTGAAGGGGAGAAGGGAAGGCAGCCCCACCAGGAGCCCAAAAACCAGTTCGGATTTATGTGATTCAAAGCCATTTTGCCACTAATAACCCTAATGACACTCTGTCCTCTTGTGGAGCCTGTCATTTGTGGGTCTCCAAGCACTCTGAAAACATTAATTAATCCTCACTGGGGCCTTTGAGGTTGGTGGCCACCCCCCCTTCACCATCTGGAGCACCTAGCAGATGAAGGAAGGGACAAAAGACCGCGTCGTCACTAGTGGGGGCTGGACGCTGAGGTTTGAAACCAGAGTCTTGCCCCGAACTGGACTCTGATCAGCCCTCACTGCTCTGTGGCTCTAACCTCGGGGCCCTGGACCTGGAATGCTGAGATCCTGCCAGTCCTCCCCCAGTGGGGAGCTTATCCTTGTGGAATGTGGAGTCATGATTCCCTGGAATGGAATGGCGATGCTCCATGGCCCTCCAGGCCAACTCCTGGCTTGTAGGTGTCAACTGACCCCAAGTAACAGGGAGACATTCAGTCAGCCCAGGAAGGGCTCAACCAGGATTTTCAGAGCTGTCCCTGCAGCAGTCGGCCTGGGTCCTTCCTTGGCCCTGACTGTGGAGGAGGTAGAGTAGAGAGACAGAGATGGCAAGCAGATGATGTATTTCCTATCCTCCTCCTTCAAGAGCTCAGCCCTGGTCTCCTCCACGGGGCATGGTGGACCTGGGTGCTGTGGGGAGGAGAGGTGAGTGAAGAGCACGGCCATCCCTGTCCTAACCCCCTGCCTTTGTCCTCAAGGTTCCATGTATGATGGCTTGGCCGACAATTACAACAACTATGGGACCACCAGCCGGAGCAGCTACTACTCCAAGTTCCAGGCGGGGAATGGCTCGTGGGGATATCCGGTAAGGAGCTGCTCCCATTCAAAAAGACCCAGAATGGTGGTCGGGATGGTTTAGGGTTTGTGGGAGAGCAAACCTGCATTGGTTGCTGAGAAGAGTGATACAGGGTGGGAAGGGGCTGCTTTGGTCCCTGAGGTGAGGCCCAGCAGCCCTGACCCAGTCCATTTGCTTGGCCATTACTTTATGGATGGCTGTTAGTGCAGTCTCCTATTTAGGTGATTGGATATTTCTGGATGTCTCAAATGAGAACGTTTTAGAAAAAGCATAAAGAAAAGAACATGTGTTTTAAGTCCATGTTCTAAAATGTCTGATATGATCATGGATTTGAGAGGAGCTTGAATTCTTAAGTTCCATTTGTAGATTAACTTAGATATTTCGAGGAAAATCGTAAAAAGACCTCTTGGCTCCGTATGTGCTGATGACCAAGGAGGGTGCTCTAGAAGTCCCCTGGGGCTGGGAGAGCATGTTCCCTGCAGTGACTCTTGGATAAGAGTGTACACGCTGGAGTGGAGTGTTGAGTTTATAAGTTGGACAGGGGCTCCTGACTGGCTCAGTTGGTAAAGCATGCGACTCTTGATCTCAGGGTCCTGAGTTTGAGCCCTACATTGGGCTTGGAGTATCTGTAAGTGTCTATGAGTTGGACAAACCTGGATCCAAATTCTAGCTCTGCTACTCACTAAGCATGTGACCCTGGGCAAGATATATCTACCTCTGGGCCTCAGTCTTCTCACATATAAAATGGGTATAACAAAGTCTACCTCGTGGGGTTATTGTCAGGATTAAATGAAATAATGAGCATAAAAAAAAAAAAACTGGTGATCATCAGTCTTAAGGGTTTCTTTTTTAACTAACAAATGTAGAGATATTCTAGATCCTTTAATCCTAGCCCTGTCACTGTCTTTCTGTGTGATTTCAAACCACTATGCCCATCCATCCATTACTGAACAAATATTTATTTATCCCTGCCCCTGCACCAAGGTCTGTGGTAAATGCTGTGGTTCAACCATATAAAACACTGTAGGAGTTTTCCTCTACTTGAATATCAGGGGTATTGGGCTAAATGACACCCAGGTTTTCTCCCTGTCTCCAAATTCTGTGACTTTCATTTATTTTTGCTAATTCCAACATTAGCCTGAATGGCTTTTGGGAATTCTTTTGTGGGACATTATGCGGATGGAGCGAGAGGCTGCTTTTTCCATGAGAATCTGGGGTGCGGTCTTCTTGGGGCTCCAGGTTTCAGTGGCATTTGCTTCGAATCCACATTGTTTACAGATGTCACCCCTAAGTTTTGGGGTTCTGGACAAGGGAAAGGGTGGGTGGTTTATGAATCAGGTGTTCTTTTTGTTGTCAGTTTGATCCTTCCTTCCTAAGTTCTTGTTGGGGCTAACTGGGGAGTATTTATCTTTCTTGCATGTTCCAGGTTAGGGACCAGAGGGTAGAATTAACTGGGTTTCCTGCAAATTTATTCCCCTCCCATATTTCTGATTTTTTATGTCAATTGATACCATAAGGGCAACATATAGACAGCTGACTGAGCCCATAAGCTGACAGATCAGGCACAGATGTGGATAAAGTGCTTTGACATTGAGAGTGATGACCAGACAAAAATCTGACTTAGAGAAAATGACTTAGTAATGCCGTATAAAGGCTTATATGAGACCCAGGGAAGGCAGATCACTGGACTGGACCAGCAGTCAGAATGAATAATCGTGCTGACTGGGTGGATGTTACAAGTCTTTACATATATTTTGTTACAAATCAGAACCTCGAAAGCTTAGCTAGGTTCTAGCCCAGGTTCTACCACTCCATGGCTCTGTGACTAGATAAACCTCTTAACTTCTCTGGGTATCAGTCTTCTCATCTGTAAAATGGGAATGAGGATATCTGTGTGTGTACTTCACCCACAGGTTGATGTTACATTAACAGTGAAGTGTTATCAGATGGGCAGTGTGGGGTCATTACACATGGAAATTTGTAACCAAGAACTGCAAAGGAACTCTTTCAGAGGTCTTACTTTAAAAAAAAATCTCCACCTGGCCCATGTTGGGCATTTCTTCTGGTTAATCAACTTAGTCTTCAGTAATCTCAGCAGCTCCTGATGCTCCCAAACTGCCCCCACTCGTCCCTCCGCCTGTTTTCTGACAATCCATGAAAATGCCTTCCCTTTCCCGTGCCCTAAGGCCCAACCCTCCTTGCTCCTTCTTCGCTGGCGGGACTTCAGACATGACTCATGACAGGGTAGCTGCTGAGGCATGTCCTGTCTCCTCTCAGCTCAGGAGGGGCTATGGGAACGGTGAAGAGCTGAGCACACATGAGGATTTGGCAGAGGGAGGCGGCAAGGTAGGGAGGAAATGGAATAATTGATACAGGAGCCAGGCATATAATCAGCCAAGGACGGGGCAAACCCAAGCAGGGCCAGGACTTAGGGAGAGGGAGAGAGGGACAAAAGGTAATAGAGCTCGGTGGCGGTGAGATAATCTATGCCCGTGGGATTTTCCCATGGCTGGCACAACTGACAGAGGACCATCTCCTCTCCTCCCTTCTGGTGAAACCAATATGGCGGCAGAAGGCAGGGAGTGAGGGGAGCAGGATGTGGTTCATCTGCACGAGCCTCGTCAGTGGGTTTCAGCAGTTGCTGAAAGCTGCTGAAGGACCGTTTCCTGCAGATACTTCACGTTCATGCCGTCAGCCAACTTGTATTGAGCAACTCGGGGGCAGGGCAGGGAGCGAGGCACACTGCAGACTCCCAGATGAGGAGATTCGGTCTTTGCCCTCAGTGAACTTGCAGTCGAGTTGGGAGAAGCATGGAGGTCAAAGGACAAGTCAAATGCAGCCATTATTTGCTCTTCTGGACTACTGCATCAGTTCTGCCATTGCTCAAAATATTTCCAGACCCTCTAAAAAAATTTTTCTTTTAAACACAACTATCGGTGTGTTTAAAAAATGTAAGAAAACCAGCCTTATTTCTTTACTGTCGTGACCTGTATTTGACCAGAAACAATATTAGCCACTTTGAGCACCTCACTTTTCAGATTTAGCTCCAGTTCCAAATATCAAATGAACTTCAAATAACAAAGATCGGTCACCATGAAGTATATATGTTATTTAAATATGCAAAGGATCTGCAGGCAGTTCCAAAATGAAAGTTCTAAAAATCTTTAAAAAGCAGTGGTGTTACCTTATGATTTGACCTTATATTTTATATTAGCAATAGTCTTCTAATTTAAATAGATGTAAAACTGTACCATTTATAGTCTATGATCACTTATATCACAAATTAAGAAAATTGAACCAAGAGAGTCTTATCATAACATAAAACTTACATTTAATCTGACACACAAAAAGCATCAAGGGGCTTAAGGACAAGGGAAGATTGATCCAAAGATTGATCAATCCAAAGTTGATTGATCCAGTCAACTCTCTGCCAGCCGTTCCACCCTCCTCCTCCTTCAGAGACACAGCAGGAGCCCCAGGGTGGCACAGACCTCAGGGAGAGGGAGGAGCGGGGGGAGGTGGGGCAGGATGGGGCAGTTTTTAGCCTCCCTGCTCAATTTCTCGGATAAACAGACTCTGCTGTTCTGCTCCAGTTCTCAGGACCAGACTAGTGAAATATTAGGGCCCCCGGGGGGCTGACACTTTACAGCTGAGGATATCCAGGTCCAGAGAGGGTGAATTACTCAGCAAGGGTCACACAGCTGCTTAATAGGACAGCAGACTGGACCCCCGGCCTCCTAACTCCTAGTCTAATGGAGTTTTGTTCTCATTACTCCAGACTTTTGGTGGTCCTTTTATGTGGGGTTTTTGTTTTGGTTTGGTTTTTGTTTTTGCATCTCAATCTTTTAACACCACAACTGTGTTTTAGGGACCTGCAAGAGAGTTTGGATCCCTTAATTTCCTCCCTCCTCCTGTCCCCCAACCAAGCCTACTCTTTCCTTTAGGAGCCAGCCTCCCTCAAAAGAAGCAGAGAGCAGCCATTTCTTCCTTCCTAAACTCAAGCTGGATTCACTCAGCCCTAAGGATTAACGGGGGTCAGGGCAGAGGTGCCAAATAAAATGCAATAAAATACAGTACTTGGGACATATTTACACTAAAATATTATTTGTTGTTTACCTGAAATTCAGATATGGCATTTTTATTTGCCAAGTCTGGCATCCCTAGGTCAGGGTATCTTCCCACACATTCCCTGTAATAAAAACAGGAATCCCTTAAGTGCTCCTCTCCTAGGCCAGGGACACAAACAGAATTACTTCAGGCCATAGCCACTTCTGGTGAGAAAGTGGAAGCTGTTTGACTCCTGTTAGGGGACCTTGTAATGGGTCCCTCAAATACCTTCCTCTGGGTCAGCTGAGACCAAGATGAGGGGAGTAGAGAGCTCAAGGCACTGGAAGGCACAGCCCTTCCATTCCAAAGCTGGAAGTGGGTTCTTATCGCAGGGTTTGTCAAGATGAAGCTGAGGCAAGTGGACAATTTTGATTTCCAGGGAATGTTTCTGGATTAAGACAGTTACTCCTTTTCTATCATCTCCAGCTCGAACAGATTTTCCTACTCACAAATCAGGAAGCACATCTTGAGCATTCAGGTCTTCTAGGAGTCACGTCAAGTGAGATGTTCTTTGGTTATGGATTGAACTAGATCCTCCTGCCCAGGAGTTGATTTCTAGGAGAGAGAAGCCATGTGGGCATCGTCAGCCAAGAGGTCTGGGCTAGGGCACACCTGGGGTGCCGCCATATTGAATCCCTCAACCGTGCTCAGTTAAATCCAGCCCCATGCTCCTGAGGGTGAGAATCCCCAGGAGTATAACCAGGGAAAACTCTGCCTTTGTCCTGTTTATTGACCCCATTTCTCTACTTTAATCCAGGATTCACTGGTAAATCTTTCTCCCAAACCCTTCTTAGCTGAACTCGCCTAACAGATATGTCAGTATTTGATGATCCACCCATGACAGAGTTTTGTAGACAACGTGCTAGGGACCCTCACCGTGAGAAGAAGTGATCCTGCCCAGT